GCCTGCATTTTGACCCCCCATTTTACTCTGTTTGTAGGTTTGCTCATCTTGGGCAGATTTCATCCTTGCTCTGTTTTTTGTCCAACTTTAACTGACATTTTTTTGATGATGGAGGCTGAACTAGCTCTTGTACAAAGTATGAAAATTGTAATTCTTTGAGTTACTTTCCAATGTATTAATAATCATCCAATTTGGAGCTCTGTGAACCGAGAAATGACCAAAATATCCTAAACTGGTCAGAACTCTATTTTAGCTTTCGACTATGAAAATTCACTTATGTATTTCAACTTTTTGACAATGAAAACGACTAAAATGAACTTTGATGTCTTCATACCAAATGTAGATCTATCTCTTAGTTTCAAAATGATTCAAGAATCACCCCAATCCAATACTTGTAGCTCAAGATATAGTTAAAATAGCACAAGATATCAAAGCTAGAAAACTTGCATTTCATCCTTTGAGTATTTTGCTCTTCATTTTTTCTTTTTATCACTTCAAATCATCAATAATCATCTAATTATCTTCTCAATTCATTCCAATTGATGATTGAATCATTAAACCTATAAAAACATGAAATTTTCACTATTAAAATCCATAGAAATGTAATTTTTACACTTTAAACTATAAAATGCACATTTTCACTAGAAATCTAGTTAATTAGCTATAAAAGTAGTTAAAACACACCAAAATCAACTAATAAAAATACACTAAAAACACACTAAATATACTTATCAGGCTGTCAACCTTAACCACTAGATTCAAGCCTCCTCAATAATTGAGTCAACCTTAATTAAGAAATAGAAGAAAGAAAAATACTTACAAGTATTTATAAAAATTTTAACTAATTTAGTAAATTATCAAATTCAAATATCAATTTTTAGACTCTAAATTTTAGATTTCGGTTCTTTCAATGCACCCTTAGGTTTGTGTCCCGGCTTGTGCATAATTATTAGAAATTTTATGTAATTACTAATTAGGTTATGATATTATGTATATACTTTTTTATATTTAATCTATTTAAGCGGGAACCCCCACCCTGTTTTAAGGCTATGGGAGGGAATTATATAAATGCTTGTAGCTTTTTTGTGCATGCGAGGCCATCATAATCCATTGAAAAAAAAAGTGGAGATCTTCTTAGTTGAAATTTGTGTTCTCTCAATAAGAAATTGAAAAAAAAAAAGACTTTAAAATTGTGAAGTTCCCACCCAACTAGCACTAATTATTATGGATGCCCACGACTATTCAATAGAATAGCAGTAGCACTAAAATTATGCTAGGTACCACCCAATTAGAACTAATTAGCGACCATGCAACAAAATTAAAGACATAGGAACCTGAAAACGACCACAAAACGACCCATTTTTTCTGCCTTAGTGGATGCGACAAAGGTTTGTTGAAAGGCACCACTCCAAGTGTGAAATGTGGAAACCATCTTCTTCACAAAATCATTGTTTATTTGGGAAAAACCAAAGGCAGCATTATTGTGTGCAAGGCCTGCTACTGTGAACCTTCTCGTTTCGGATATTCATTGACTCTCACAAATCTGATTGTATCACAGTATACTTTTCAAAGAAATCCCCTGAAAAAATTTGCATTTTTTTTGATGAATTAGCTGAGTTTTAAGTTTTAACTATTGGAGTGGAGTAAGAGGCGGTTGTTAGGGAAGTGGCGAAGCTAGTGCTAGTTGCCAGGAGCTTCTGCAATCGATTTCTTCAAATAGAGCTGAGTACGGTGCCCATCAACAACAGGTATTTTTAAATTCGAGGAAATTGAAAAGGAAAAAAAGAATAAGTTGATTAAGCGTTCCATTTCCTCAGCTGTTTATATGTTCTGTAAGTTGGAAGGAAAAATATAAACAAGGGAATGAAAGAGGTGGAGAACAACGAAAACATGATTGGCTTTTTATTTTGTCAGTTTCTTAGTTTTTAAAATATATTTAGTTTTTGAAAACAAGAAGATGAAAAAAGAAAAAGAATGAAAACGTCTGTTACTAATTTCTGGAGAGATGGTTCTTTATTTTTCTTTGGAATCCCTTTTGACCTTTTTTTTTTTAAACTAAGGTTCATTTGATAAAACTAAAGTCTGAAATTTGAAGTTTGAATCTATTAATTTATTGAATTGTTAAGTATTAAATCTAATATATTTAAATGTATATTACATTCTAAGCCTACTGGTATAACATACCATGCTTGTTCCACATTAAAGTGACCTGTAATTATGGAAGTATGCAAAGAAAAATTTAAGAGCAAACTACAATATAGCATTCTGCAAGTCCAAACACCAGTCTTCTACCCACTTTTGACCCTTAGGCCCGCCAAATTTACATGGCTGAAGCTCATTTGTATTGTATGTGGTTATCAGCAGCATATCCATTTCCCTGAACAAAGTTTCAAGTGGAAAAGGAAACGTCTTGCGAGATTATCACTATCATGCCCCACCATCTTTCCTCACGACACACGAAATCAAAAAACAAAAATAAAAGAGTCTTGCTGACAATGTGTACTCAAAAAGAAAAAAAAAAGAGTTATATGAATTTTTCTGACAGGGATATGTATTCGTTAACAAGTTTAAATTACGTCTAATTTAACATGTGAGTATGCACAATCATAATTATTGGACACACATCTAATTTAACATGTGAATATACACAATCATAATTGTTGCACTCGACATCTAGATACTTATACAAATTAATTACACTTTTTTTAAAAACCTAACACATGAGACTTCAACGAATATACATTGAGCATCAATTAACCAAACCATACTTATATATGTAAATATTTAACTAGCTAACCAGATATATGCTTTAAAAAAGTTATTTCAGCTTGTAGCTGCTTAATTAATCTTCTCGAATCGATTGTTGTACAAATTATTCAACGTGATAAATCTCTTATGCTCGTTCCTGAGGCTCTCCTCTTTTTGTTGAGAAGGTCTTAATCTAGTTGTTAAGGGTAAAACTCGAAAATTTAGAGACCTTGGGTTTTGATTCTTCTTTATCTCACAATTTCTTAAGTTTCACCCTTCCCTTGCTAAAAACAATGGGGAAAAAAAAGAGAAAAAGGCTCTCCTCTTTATTTAAGGTTGTTACCTCGCACCATCCATCAGGTAACAAAGAAAGTCATTTATGGTTTTTCCACCTCAATTCCACACTTTAATTTGCTATTTTACTTTTCATTTTTTTCCTTTTCTTCATCACATTTTTGTCCTTAGTATAACAATTAAAACTACTATTGTGTTGCGTGGACTGATAGGAGTGTACTTGAGGTAGTCTAGATTATTTTGACAAGTAAATAAAGAATATCTCTCAAAGAATTTTTCAGTATTAATGCAGCATAAATTTAAATGAATTTGTGTAAAAAAATTATGTTATTGATGTGAAAAAAAAACGATGCTGATTCAAGCATAAACGAAAGAAAGAATAGTCCAGGAATACGCATATTTCGATTCTCATATACATATTTAAAACGCAAATAATATACGTAGAAGTTGAAAGACTTTATAAGACCAGTCAACAATGTCATAACAAGCATAATATTTTGCTTCTACCTACAATATGACACTAATTATGGTTAATGTGAAAACGTCTAGGAAACAGAAGTTGAACCATACGCTAATGGAAACCACTATTTCAAGAAAATGATTAGTAATATTATGTACTTAACCATTAAGTTCCAAGCAAATCATGCTAGCATCTTCTGCTTTTAATTATGCAGGAAGGATCCAATTGGAAAAAAAATTATGGATTGATTAGGCGACAAATCAAGGTCAAAGTTGCATGACATCATCTAATTAAGAAAAGCTAATAATAGCAGTAATCCATTAAATCAACAATGAATGATGCATCAATGTACATTTCCAAACCTAAGTTATGGTTTACTTCTTCTAATAGGACAATAGTATCATGCAAGTGAATTACAATTAGGTCCAACCTATCCAAAATGTCAAAAAGCTGAATAGTACGCCAAAAAAAAAAAAAGACATCGCACCTCCACAATGCTCATAACGTCTTTATTTTTAGGGCAAATTACATTTTACCCCCTGTGATTTACCCTTTTTACATAACCCTCCTATGATTTCAAAAGCTATACATAATCCCCTCATGGTTTGGATTAAAGTGTCAAAGTGACGGAAATAGTCACTTGTAATGGAACTTCTAAAAATGTTGAAATTACCCTTATAAATACATGACACATTAACCCCGTATGCTTTTTATATTTTACCATATAACCCCCTTATGGTTTAATATTTTACCATATAACCTCCTTATGATTTTCAAAATATACACATAACCCCCCCGGTTAATAAAAAATTTTTAACTTTACATAAGGGTAATTTTGACATTTTAGGTGACGCCGTTACGAATGATTATTTCCGTCATTTTGACACTTTAATCCAAACGATAAGCGGGTTATGTATAACTTTTGAAACCACTAGAGGATTATGTGAAAAAACGCTAAACCACAAGGGGGTAAAGTGGAATTTACCCTTATTTTTATCGAAGTTGTCATCTTTGCTACTTAAAAAGGCCTTAAGGCCCTTATCTGAATGCATCTCTAATTTTGTAAACATTTGCTCATCAAAATTTCTGAGACTTGATTAACTCAATATGCATCATATACTCGTAGAGTGATATGCTAGTTACAAATTAATGTGACCAATAATTTAGTCTTCTGCACTTAAATTTGACCCTTAGGCACGTCAAATTCACATTGTAGAAGCTCATTGGTATGGACTTGGGAGTCACCAACAGCATATGCCCGTTGGTATGATCTGTCCTTGACAAGTTTCAAAAGGAAGAAAGAGAAGTCTTGCAATATACTTCATCAACACGCCCCACCACCCCTACCACACGCACACACAGACAGGAAAAAAGAGAGTGTTGACTCTTGACGGCAATGTGTGACTACCGTTGATAGATCATGAGAAAATTGTAGATATTGAATATCCATAGCTACAATAGACAGAAATCTGATATATCAGAGTGAAAAGCAGGTACAATGATGAATATCTCCTCCGATAGTAGCACTAATTGCTTCGATTTTGCTTTAGATCGTCTGGAATCGTTTAACCAATCATTCAAATATGGGTATGACTTTTCTTTCTGGGAGCTGAAGGTAGGGATAAGTCTATTGAAAACCTTCGATATGTATATTAGAAAGTGTAGGAGGAGAAGGAGCAGCCAGGATACACGTTTGGAAAATGAAATGGAGGACCGCGGTAATGCTAAGTCCGACAGTTTGAGACTTAGCAGTATTTCATTCAAGATTCAAGATCTTGTTAGCGGGATATCGCTGGGACTTGAATATACTCTTTCTAGATGTAATGATGATCAGCCTGATGAGTCAGATTTTAGTGACATCGATGTCGATTGTGAATGCGCCAGATATGAGGAAAATATGAGGTGCTTTTTTGAAACAGATATCAAGGAATCAGGCATCATTGATCTGCTGCTCTGCTACTCGCTGGGAGATTTACAACTAGTTATAGATTTCATTGATTCCATTTCAGAGAATCTGAAGCATCTTTGTAAATGCTATTATGGAGTTGATGAAGCTCTAAACACTGTAATGGAAACCCTTGAAGAGAAGCTAATGTTTTTGAAGAGTTTCATTCGCTTTGCGACACTACAAGGTGTTGAGGGTCAGCAATTAAAAGACCTATTAGTTCACGTTGAAGTTGTGGCTCTCAATGCTGCCAGCTTGATCTGTGGATCTTGGTTTAAGAGAAATGATCAACTAGCGTACAAAGAGATGGAATCTGAAATTTCTCAACTGATACATAAGAAGATTGATTCCTTTGATCCCCAAGTCCGAGAAACTTATATTAATGTCTTGACAGCTTCCAAGTTATCAAGACCATCCTACACTTTAGCTATGAAGAAGAACAAGCATCTAGTGGCTGAATTTATTGATTATCTCATGCGTAGTCTTATGAAGCTATTAGAATCTTATCCCAGTTTTCCGGTTCCAGTGAAGGATCAAATGCTAAAACTCCACGAGGGAGTAAGATTCCTGATCATCCTTCTTAGTCGGCAGCAGGAGAAGTTCGATGAGCTAAATGATGAGATGAAGAATTGCATTGGATTTGTAGTCTCTGATGCAGGAATAGTAATTTTCTCCCTTTCTGTGAATGAAATGAAAGAAGGCTTGTGCAATGAAACAGGTCTGGCACTTTCTCGTTTGGTCGAAGTGCTCAAGTTGGTCATTGCAGAAGTTGGGCACATATATGCACTACCATCATCATCATCACTTGGTTTCCCTAGGACTAACGAGCTCGGCTCTCTTGATTTTCTTCTAGAAACTCTCAAGGAATTAGCAAGTTCTACAGCTGATTCAATTGCTTTCTCAAACAATCAAATACACACAATCCTAGAAGATCTTGTATTGTTAAGATCTTTCCTAGGAAATATCGTGGAGCAGCGCAACCAAAATGAAAAACTCCAAGCGCTTTGGAGTCGCATCATGAAGGTTGCATACAGTGCAGAATTGGAAATTGACTCTGCACTGGTTGGTGATCTACGTGAACATTGTTTGGATGCTGTTGCTGGAGATATCAAGCTTATGAGGATAGAGGCTGAAGGGATCTATAATAGCATAAGATATGATGGTGAAACCCAGAGAGTTACCAAGACTACCATTGACATGCCATCACAAGTTACTGTGCCAATATCCAGTGAAGCTCTGGTGGGTCTCAACGATGAGGTAGAAAGTATAATTGATAGACTTTTGAGAGGATCGGAGCAATTGGACATTGTCGCCATTGTGGGTATGCCTGGGCTTGGTAAGACAACAATAGTCAATAAAGTTTACAGTGATCCTTCGGTAAAGTTCCACTTCCACGTTCATGCTTGGTGTTGTGTCTCTCAAGCATATAGCAAGCGTAGTTTGTCAGTTCAGATATTGTGTTGTATTGACGGTGGGAGCTCCATCCAGTATCTTGAGATGAACGAAGATGATATGGCTGACAAACTCCACAAGTTTTTGAAGAGAAATAGGTATCTCATCGTTTTGGATGATGTTTGGGACATTGACGGGTGGGATTTGTTGAAACACTCACTGCCAGATGACTGTAATAGAAGCAGGATACTCTTAACCAGTAGATTTCAGGATTTGTCTTTGCAAATGAAACCTGATAGCAAGCCTCACCACCTTCGCCCACTTACTAGCAAAGAGAGTTTGGAATTGCTGCAGAAGAAGCTATTTGGCAAACAAGATTGTCCTCCAACATTAAGTGAAGTTGTACTGCATGTAGCAAAATACTGTAAGGGCCTACCTCTTGCAGTTATCCTTGTTGCTGGAATTCTTGCTACCACTCAGCAAGACAGCTGGGAAGAAGTCGCAAGATGTCTAAGTTCCACCATTTTTGTGGACAGTGAACACTGCATGGAGACACTTGAGCACAGTTATAATTATTTACCGGATTATTTGAAACCATGCCTTCTTTACTTGAGTGCATTTCAAGAAGACCGAGACATTCCTGTCCGAGAGTTGTTATGGCTTTGGATCTCAGAAGGATTTGTGCAACAGACTAACGGAAAGAGCTTAGAGGATGTGGCAGACGAGTATTTGATGGATCTGATTGGGAGGAGTTTAGTTATGGCTACCCAACAAAGATCTTTAGGCGGGATCAAAACTTGCCGAATTCATGATTTGGTACATGAGTTTTGTTTGGCGAAAGCAAAAGAAGAAAGATTTTTGCAGATTTTTCATGCGGATGACCTTCCTACTTTTACTGGACCGTGTTACCTCCACCGACTCTGCATTTGCCCTACCACCAGTGAGGGACCTTTAAATTCAAGTCTATTTTTCCCCAATTTGCGTAGTGTGCTCTTATTTGATTTTGGTTCTCTACCACTGGATAGAAGTTCAGTCAAATTTCCATTATCTAAACTTCTTAGAGTGTTGCATTTGGGGGGCAGATTTTATTGGGGTACATGTTTTCCAAGGGAAGTATTATTCTTTGTTCACTTGAGGTACTTGAAGATTGCATGGCAAAAAGGGGAAATTCCATCTGCAATAGTCAACCTCTCCAGGTTAGAAACTTTTGTGGTAGGAAGACGCCTTACAATTAATTATTTGTTACCCAACACTGTCTGGAACATGAAAACATTGAGGCATCTTGTCGTTTTTCCAAATTACGTTCCAAATTACGGAATTGGTTTCAGATTTCCCATCGACAATCTTGAAGGCTCCCCGGATTTAAAACACTTAGACACTTTAACCCTTGCAATCGATCCCTCTTCTCGAAGCTTGCAAAAGATATTGTCAAAATTACCGAGCATCCGCAGGCTAACATGCTTGGAAGTGAATCGCAGAGCATCTGCTGGAAATCACAATGATATTCTTGTGCTGAACTACTTGAGTTTCTTAGAATCACTTAAGCTCAGTGGCTTTGCCGGATATGAGTCCCGTTGAATTTGAAAAATTTGATCCTCTCATCTAATTATCAACCATGGAGTAAAATTTCAGCAATTGGAAAGCTACCCAACCTTGAAGTGCTTAAATTACGCTATAATTCCTTTGTGGGGGAAAAATGGGAAATGGAAGAAAGGGAGTTTCGAAACCTCCGATTCTTGAAATTGTCATATTTAAACATTCGCTGGTGGACTGCCTCTTCTGATAATTTTTGCTGTCTTGAGAAATTGGTTTTGCATGCTTGTCATTGGCTGGAAGAGGTCCCTTCTTGTTTAGGGGAAACCCTCACTCTTGACATGATTGATATAAAATGGTGTCAGGAGTCTGCCGTAAATTATGTGAAGCAAATTCTGCAAGAACAGATGGATATGGGAAATAATGGTCTAAAGATCGTTATTGAATAAGAAAGTCGGTGACGGTCTATGTTTTCCTCTGAGTGCCAATTCAGCAAGTGAGTCGATTTCCTCTCATCACATTTTCATATTCTACATCTGTTCTATTTGTGTATATTCAATCAGTTCAATGCTAGCATAACTTTTCATGTTTCTCAGTGCAATTTCTGAAGCTTCCCAATTCTTTGATTCGATAAGTAATACATTCATGAATTCAATATTGTCTATCAAACATGTTTCGATGCTATTCTGCGGTTCTTATTTCCTTCAATATTTCATAACGTTTATGATCAATTTTCCCAATTTCTAAAATTTTCTTGAACATGGTTACAGATTTGTGTGATTCTTACAACCAGCTGAGCAGAGACACATATGCCAGGTATACTTTTCTATTCCTGTTATTTATTTCAGCGAGAGCACTAATTTTCTTTTGTTGAAATCAAATACCTGAATGACACAACACTTTCTTTTTCTTTTTTTTTTCTATTTATTTTGAATTGCCGAGAATGCGGTATGCTATTGCAACCTTGTTCTGTAGAATATGTGTGTACTAACGACTCTGAGCTTGGTAAACATGAGGATTTTGCCCTTTTTTATTTTTATTTTTTACCATCTAGGTATACGAGTTTGTTCCTGCTTGTCACTGTTTTTCCAGAGTTTTATTATGCTGTGTGCCTGTTCTGAACTTTGTAAACTAGTTGTGCTTTAGACTTGGCCATTAGCCATGTTCCTCTGACACCTGGATATGCGTAAAGAAGGTAAAGTAAACAAATTTTCAGATGTTGAGGTCAGATTATATTCGTTGTTTCCTGAAGACGAACCATGTTAATAATTACTATATGTAATCTTTAATAGTACCCTGAGATTTTGCATGGAACATCTAGCAAAAGATAAAGTTTCTGGAGGAGGAACAAAAGAGGAAGGGAATTTAAACTTAATGAAAGGATGCATTACGGAATGAATTATATAGACTGTCACTTTGTTTTATATCCAACTTGGTATACAGTCTGATTTCCCATTTCCAATTAATTTGTAAAGCTGCACTCTGAAAAGGTGCTCTGAATTTATCAGATTTAAATTGAAGTCATTGGCTTCTACAGTTCGGGTAGTTGGAAGGGGGGAGGGAGTTGTAAGGTGCAATGGAGAGCTATCTGGAAGATGATCTGACAGTCAGTGGATGTAGAAACTTGATGCCAAAAACCCCTTAAAATTTCTTTCTTGTGCCGTTTAAAATGATTTGAATTAGTTAGAAAGCAAGAAACAGGTTTTGTTGCTGAACTGGCACTGCCGAAATGGTTTTTTTTCATGTCTTTTTGTATTCTGTATTGCTCAAAATTGTAAAGAAGATGATGAAAGCCATCTGCACCTATTTGAATTGAAGATTTACTTCACCTAATATGTATTTTCTAGTCTAATATGTTCTCTCAGTTCTTTTCCAACACTTGAACCATTAGATTTAAAAGACGTTTGGAAACACCCAAAGAACTGGTCCTATATTTTGATGATAAAACCCAAGAGCAGATGGCCCAATTTAGCATATCTTAGCTTTGTGATGTACCAAACAATATTACCGTTTTGCCTAATTTAAGATAATTGTCGATTTTTCTCTTCTGTTCCATTGCCTGGCAAAGCTGAAACAAGCATTTATCTAGAATTTATTATCTTTTTTTGCAGGTCATCCAAGAAAGAGCATCTGAGGTTTAAACAGATATTGAAACTTGACTAGAAAGTTTTTTTTTGGCTGTAACTGTCAGGTATAGATGCTCCAAATTCTTTACTTTTTTGTTCTGCGAGTTTTTCTTTTCCATTTTTTTTTTGGTTGACTCAAACACCTAATGCAGCAGAGTTATATAGAACCTCAAAGTACTATGCATTGAAAACTGATAGTCTTCTTGCATTATTGGCCTGCAGCTAATGCCTCAACCGGGGAAGTGATAGGATGCTGGCATATATGACGAATTGAATCTTTCCAATGGATGGATCATCCGATGTTATATCACTCATGGGGGACTTTGCACGATTATCTTTGTTAAAGTGGCTTTGTCCTACATTGCTTTTTGTATAAGGGAGTCTTTCCCTTAGTTGCCTGTAAATATAGTGGGCCTGTGATTGGATTAGGTGCACCAAACCAAGGAAACTTTAGTGGGTTATTTGGACCATTGGGTCATTAAGTTTTTTGTTTACTAAAATATTTTTGGAATTTCTTGTTTTTTAAGTATTAGGTATTTTGGGTTTACGAAAAATTTTCTAAAGCATTTTTGTACTCTCTTGTTCATAGTGAAATTTTACTCCTCCTCCATCTGTGGACGTAGATTAATTTGATCGAATCATGTAAATTTTTTATGTTCCTGTTTTATTATTTGTCTTTTGGGATTATCAAAAATCATTTCGTCAATTTTCTGGGGTCAGATCTAACAAACTGGTATCAGATTTTCTTCAGAAGCTTTGGATTTTGTGACAACACCGAAAATAACAAAGACTGTTATCAAGAAATTCGACAGGAATATCAATTTTGGAATATAGCAGCTCAAGATGGTGGCTATTTTGGTTCAACACAAAGTTGATTTAGCAATACAGGTAATTGAAAAAAATCAAATAGTGTGACAGTTACAAATTTGATGAGATGGATAAGAAGGTAAGATCTAGCATTATGTTAAATCTCTCTGACAAAGTTTTGTGAGAGATAGCCACTGTAACTTCGGCAAAGACCATGTGGGACAAGTTTAAGACCTTGTAGATGAAGAACACGGTTGAGAATTGACTTTATTTAAAGCAAAGTTTGTATATGCTTTTCATGGTTGAAAAGCATTTTGATAAATTTTGATAAATTTAATTCCATTATTATGAATTTAGAGAATACAGATTCAAAAATTGATGAAGAAGACCAGGCCCTGTTACTTTTGTATTCCCTTTCCCAATCCTTTAAATATTTTCACGATACCATGATTTATGGAAAAAAATAATTTCGTATCAAAAAATTAAATTTGCATTAAAATCTAATGAGTAGATAGATAGAAATATCATCGAGAAAACTAATGAAAATTAGAGAGAAGCCCTGGTTGTAAGGGGCAGAATCAATAATAGAGAATTTGACAGTAGTAGATCTAAATTTAGATCTAAATCTAGACATAAAAATTTAGAGTGCAATTATTGTCATAAAATAGGGCACATTAAGACAATTTGCTTTAAATTGAAATAATTAAAGCAAAAGAGAAAACTTGATGAGAAAAATATTGAAGCTGCCGAAACTCGTGTTATAGTTGTTGAGAATGAAGGACGTGTTTTCTTTGTGACTGATGAAAGGACAAAGTCTAAACATGAATGGATTTTAGATTTGGGATGCTCTTATAACATGTGTCCCAATCGGAATTTATTTTTCATTTATGAATCTTATAATAATGGAATTATTTTAATGGACAATAATGCCGTTTGTGATGTTATTGGTAAAGGTACAGTTCGAATTAAAATGCATGATGGTATTGTGAAGACACTCACTAATGTTAGACATGTTCTTGATTTTAAAAATAATCTTATCTCTCTGAACACCCTAAAGGCTCTTGAGTGTAAATATACAGTTGAAAAGAGCGTTATGAAGGTTTATAAAGATGCTCTTGTTGTTATAAAAACTTGCAGGTTTGGTAGTTTGTATGTTTTGCAAGGATCTATTGTCACAGGTTCGATTGTAGTTTCATCATCATCATTTTTATCTGATTCTAACATCACCAAGTTGTGGCATATACATTTAGAACACATGAGCAAGAAAGGCTTGGGCATATTGAGCAAAAGGGGATTTCTTTACTGTCAAAGTACTGGATCATTGAAATTCTGTAAATATTGTGTCTTTGGGAAGCAAAAAAGAGTTAGTTTCAGTTCACAAATAATTCATAAGACGAAAGGTACTCTTGATTATATTCATTCAGATTTATGAGATCCATCTCGTGTTCCGTCTAAGGGTGGTGCCAAATATATATTAACTTTAATTGACGATTATTCAAAAAAAATTTGGATTTATTTTCTTAAACATAAGAATGATATTTACATCACTTTCAACCAATAAAAATTTTTGATTAAAAAACAGATAAGTAGATAGATCAAACGGTTTAGAACAGATAATGGCATAGAGTTTTGTGAAAATGAATATGATGGTTTTGTAAGAATGAAGAAATTGTTTGGCATCACACTGTCAGGATAACGTCTCAACAAAATGGTGTGTGCGAACGTATGAACAGAACACTTTTAGAGAAAAAAATGTGTATGATTTCTAATGTAGGGTTGACAAAAGACTTTTGAATATAGGTGATCTCTATGGTTTATTATATTGTCAACCGTGCTTCTTCTGCAATTTTTTATTTCAAAACTCCTGAAAAATCTAATCAAGTACTCCTGCTAATTATTCTGATTTAAAAATATTTGGGTGTCCAGCATACATGTATGTAAATGATGAAAAATTGGCATCTTGAGTTAAAAAGTATATTTTTCTTGGGTATGCTTTTGGAGTGAAAGGGTACAGATTGTGGTGTTTTGATCATAAATTTTAATTGTGGTGTTTTGATCATAAATTTTAATTAATAGAAATGTTACTTTTGATGAATTTTTTATGTTATCTTT